TATAATAGCAATAATCTAAAATAAATGGAGTAGCTAGGGTTTGATTTAATTGTGCTCCATAGCAAACGTTAGCTAAAGTTTGTCAGGCATCTCTCCCCCAAAAATCTCGCTCGCCACTCTCCATTCTCGCTCACCTCTCTCGCTTTATAAACAGAAGTGTATAAATTCTGTTTCTGTTTTGTATAAAGCGAGAAAATTGTATATACACATGCAAAAATATATATCTTCGTGTTATACACTTAATTATACAATTTACAAACATTTTACTTCAAATATTACAGAGAAAAAGGCAACGAATTACACAATTGCGAATTATACAATTGCAGTGAAATACAATTTTCTCTAGCTTTATACAACAGAAGTGTATATATTGTGTTTTTGTTTTTGTATAGAGCGAGAGAAAAACATATATCTTCTTTCTATACACTTACAATTATGCAATATACATACATTTTAATTCGATTCAACTGTAAGCAAATCAAATTTATAAAAATATTGCAGTGAAATAGGCAGCGAATTATACAATTGTACATTATACAATCGCAGTGAAATAGGATAGCGAATTATACAATTGCAGCGAAATAGGCCAACGAATTATACAATTTAGGCCAGCAAATTATACAATTGTATATGTATAGCGAATTATACAGTTTTATGTTTGTTATGGAGCGCAATTATGCAAACTTTGCTATAGCATACAAATATGAATTTTTTGTTTGCTATATGTGAAAGTTGTCCTTCCAAATAACAGATAACCCAGCCCAATCCTTTTCGCCCGATTCGGCCCAACTCTCTTCTTCAACAAAGAAATCAGATTTGGGTCCAACTCTCTTTCCCTCTTTTCTTTACTATGTTTATTTTGCTTGTTAGTATTTTTCGTTAATTTTAGGGTTGATAAAATTCAAATCCCTGTAAGACACTTATCGTGTTTTATCAACTTAACTACATTGATCACTCTAAATGGACTTAAAAGATAATAATAAGTCTACAAATTAATACCTCACTTAGATAGTTGGTTAAAGTTTCCCTTTTCCCCTTTTCAAAAATGGAATAACTATTTTTTCGATTCAAATTAAGTTAATATTATTTTAGCTAAATAAATTAATTATTGGATAACCACGTATTAGCTGGCATTTTGAGTTCCTTCAAATCCTTCTCGAAGTGCTAATATGAACCCCCTAATTCCCTTAAATATTTTCAATGTGTTTACCGTTTTTATCCTTTGAGAATAAATTTTCTTGATTTTTCTTCAAAAATTAATTGCCGATTCTAAATCAATCTTTATTTAAATAAAACAGTTGCAGCGGTAATCTGCACGCATCAATCAGACAACATCGGTCATGGCCTGTGCGCAACGGCTAGCCGAGGCTAGGTGCCATCGGCCAACTAACATAGACCGTGGTCAAGTGACATCATCTATGTCTTGTACGCATTAGTCAGCTAAGGTCTGCGAGACCAAGCGACATTGTCTTGACCCCTACCTATCGGTCAACCAACGTGGCTTGCCCGCAATGGTCAGTTGACGTGGCCTGCCCGCATTGATAAGTCAACATCAAACATAGCTTGCCCGCATCATCTATGGCCCCCCCTATGCATTATACAATGATGTCACCTTGGCAAAATCGACTGAGGGCTAGTCGACAACATATGGATGCCCATATTGTGCAAAAATGAAAAGAGTGTGAAACACCTTTCATGCATAAACACATCATATATTTATACATTTTTATCTATTTTCTATTATCTATTCTTAATGTTTTTGCCTCACGAGATTCGTTCGTATCAATTTTCACTATTTTTACGGATCATACATATTGAAACAAGTTATATTTGCACAATTATGTACTATATCATTTATTTCACATACTAAAAAGTGTTTTTATAGTAATTCCCTATTTTTCCATTTATTATTATTTTAAAAAAAAGATATTTCTATAGTTTAATATATATTACGTCACGTTTGAAAACCCAAAATTTACTCAATTGTTGGATTTAAAGTTACTACATTTATTATAACTTTTCTTGTATTATTTTTTTTTCATTCTTTTATAATTTATTACTTATTTTTCAAAATTTTCTGAAAAAAAATAAAAAATTGTTGATAACTCTCTCTTTATATATAACAATTAAATAGTAATATAGATCTTAGTTTCTTTTGAAATAAGAACCAAACATTTGAAAATTGAACATCTCAAATTTAATCTCTGGTATAATTTATACTTGCATTTTTATTTTTTATTTTTATATAGAAGCAGTAAAATGCAACAAATTAATTTATTATGTGTGTTGAAAGTCATACTAGGATGCTATGCAACCGCACAATGTTTTATTATGTTGAAACTTATTAATTATTTGCTTTATATGTTAAATCAAACAACCTTTTCAAGTTCATTTATTTTTATTACTTCTTTCATCGTTATTATATATGTTTTAGTTTGATTGAAACGATTTTTAGAAAAATAAAATGAAATTTTATAATTTTTCCTTAAGATATACATTATTACTAAAATTTTAGTAAAAATTTTATGTTTTAAGGCATGTCGGATGATATATTTAAATTAAATAGTTAATAAACATAGAAACGAGTAACATTAATTTTCTAGACTAACTTAAAAAGTAAGAATTTTTTTATACTAAGGTCCTATTACCTCCCTCGACTTATTTTGTTAATAATTTTCTATTCCTTTTCGGTCTACATGAAATTATTTTGTGGGCCCAATGCTAATTGATTTTTTTTCAAGATAGTGCCACGTAAGTCGAAAAGGGTTAAAAAATTACTTATAAAATAAGTTCAGGGGGTAATACGACTTTAGTATAGTATAAGTGTGTCTATGAGATTTCTTGCATAGGTTGAGGGGGTACTTGTGCATTTTACGTTTCTAATACCCGATAATTCAAAGTCCAAAATATGGTTGCTTTAGGGTGTGTTGGTATGAAGGAAAATGTTTTCCAAGCAAATGTTTTTCTAGAATACAAGTAGATATTTGACTTATTTTTTCATGTTTGTTTGGTGAGTAGAAAATATTTTAGGAAATTATTTTAGTGTTTGATTTTTGAATGAATTTCCGAAAACATTTTTCTCAAACACATTTCCATGGAAAACATGAAAAATGAAAAACATTTGTCTAATATAATAATTATTAATATCAAGGGTTTTGAAGTTCAAAATATTTTTGAAAAACAATTTTTTTTGGGGGGGGGGGGGGGGTTCGAGGATAGGGGTGAAAAAATGAAATTTTGAAGTTTAAAATATTTTTTAAAAAATAAACTCAAATTTTTTAATTTTTTTTTTTGGCGGGAGGGGGGGGGGGGGAGCTGGTAGGGATGGGTGGATGGGTCGAGGTGTAGGGGTGAAAAAATATATTTTTTAAGTTGAAAATATTTTTAAATAACAAACTTAATTAATTTTTTTTTGGAATTTGGGAGGGTGGGGGGACGTGTCGAGGGTAGGGATTAAAAATGAAATTTTGAAGTTAAAAAATATTTTTTAAAAAATAAACTTATTTTCCTAGGCGTACGGGGAGCTGGTACGAGGGTGGGTTGGAGGCTGATAGGGTGGTTGGGGGGACTGGTGAGGGGTGGGTATGAGGGAGGTTGGAAGAGAATTTTAAAAAATATTTTTTCTTAAATTTTGAAGGAAAGTCACTTTCCTTAAATTTAAGGAAAATGATGATTTTAAAAATATGTAATCCAATCAAATATGAAAAAATTTAAAAATAAATATTTTGCTTCATACCAAACACTCTTACTGTTTTGTATTTGTAACTTATTATTATAATAATAGAAATAATTATAACTTTATTATTATAAAAATAAAATAAAGTAAGTTATTACACCAAGGTGAGATTAAATTATGATGGCCTAAAGTCAATTACCCCAAAAAAGGCTACATACCCTGCAATGATTTCACTCATCTATTAATTGATTTATCTAATAAAGTAATAGAATACATTGCATATTCCTCCTTTTATTCTTTTGGAAAGAAAGAAAAGACAAAAATATAATGAAAATAATGCGCGATACAAATTTAATGAAAATTAAAATTAATAAACAAGTAAAATTCAACCCCTTACCTCCCCAAATAGGCTTCATTTCAAATATGGGTCGGGCTTTTCTTAGTTTCATCATATTATTATTTGGTTGGGTCTTTAATTATTGTAAAACGAATTTGTTAGATGATTGTCATTAAGATTGTGTAATGAATCGGAACAAATTGGTATCGGATCGGAATAGAACGAATTGATCGATTTGTTGATCGGTATCGGGATGAACCGGATTGAAATTATTGGGATGGATATTTGGTTCCGTCCGGTCTCACTATTTACCGGGATGAAATCAGAATGGATCGCAATGGAATGGGATGAACTGGACCGGAATGACTAAGTTTTTTTTGTCTTTCTCGGTTTATACCAATTCAAATTGTATATAATTTCTCTTTTTCTCGTTTTATACAATTCGATTCAATTGTATATATATAGCGAATTATACATATATATATTTGTTATAGAGTGCAATTATACAAACTTTGCTATAGCATAAAAATATGAATTTTGTGTTTGCTATATGTAAAAGTTGTCCTTGTTATTTTACATAAATGTAAATTTAAATTTGTTTAGAGTATATTTTGATGTTTAATTATGTATTGAATTGTAAAAATAAGAAGAACAATATTATTTTTATTGGCAAAAAAAAATATTGTATGACTCAAATTTAAACAAATTCTTACGTACATTTATGTATGGTATATTAAGTTTTGACTTGCAAAATAACATTGGATATTTTGTTTTTCTGATTGGACTTACAAATTTTACATGCACTTCAAGAAAAAAAAGTACTGAATATATCCCCAATTTATTTAGCTTTGTAAAGTCTACAATTTTAGTCAGAAATATCCAATGAAGAAATCAGTAAATGCCGCGCAAAGTACAATACAACAAGTGAATTATGGCTTTTGGACGCTGGCTCGCAGGCAGTATTCTCGAAAAGATAAAACTAGCAAGTACAAACTATTTAATTCTATAATTAAAGATGATAATAGAAAGATCTATTACAAGCACTTTATATATTTGGTCTAATAAAAAGTTGATTGTGTCACAATACCTTGTACTACTACATGCACACAAGTAATATGCAAATTAATTAAACATCCTTGATACTAATAATGACAAATCTTAATTCAGAGGAGAGAGGGTGTCATATCCATTGGGAAATGGTTAGCAAGAACATTATCCATATAGTAATGTGGATGAGCAGCATCCATCACAACAAACTGCATATCTTCTGATGGTTTCCAATGCCTCTTTCTTTGATTGATAAACCAGTTGTTTATTTGCTTCTGGTCCAATCCCGTTGATTCAGCTAGTGCAAGCTTCTGAGATTCCTGTAAACCAAGAATCGCGCAATGTAACTTGACCGCGTAAAATAACTATGCATTGTCATTATTGTATATAAGATGGACACACATCACAACCTTGTCTGATAAGGCAAGCGAAAAACAATATATGGTCTTACAATGAAGTGATCATCCTAGTAGAGTAGAATTAATATGTAGATATTGAGCTAAGGACTGATTTATTTAACAATTTAGAAAAGCAATACTTTTACTTTTCTAATTTAAGTGATATTAGCTTTAATTCAGAATGAAGACCAAGCGAAAACTTCGTGCACCCGTAACATTATGTTTTAAAATTTAAGAGTGTCATTCTTTTTGTATGGATTACTAAGGGACATAAGGTGAAATTAACAGAGTGTATAGAGTCAAGAAGTGAAGTTATTAATAGGAATGAAGGAGGATCATACCGATGGATATGGCCATTTAATATGTCTAAGCCACCAATCCACCAATTGTTGCCTTGCTTCCTTAGGCAGCTTGCCTTTCTTCCTCTTCTTCATGAACTCCTGCTTAAGGCTTCCCAAGTAACCGCTGTACTTACGCAACAATTGACCTTTGAGCTCTCTATCCTCAGCCTGGGGGTCGATGAAACTGTTATTCACGTCAACCTCTTCATCAGATGATCCATTTCTATCCATTGCCTCGCCCAAAGCTACACCTTTAAGACTTAAATTAGCATAACCATTCTCCAAGAAAAAAAGGAACAACTATAGTTGAGAATATAACTTGGCTTATAATAACATTATAGTAAAAATCACTAGCTACTAGGATACGAGATAAGCTTTGAGTATGAGTACTCAGCTGGTTCTCTTGGGACGTGATCAAAAGTTTGGCACGTTAGATTAGCCAACACTACAGGCTAACATAAATCATTTTGCTCTTAGGCATTTGGAAACTTCTCAGTAGTTTCTTACACAAGAAGAGTAACAAAAATATGCTAGAGTTAATACAATCAAAAACAACAAAGCGATTCATAACTCACACTAAATCTAGGCAGAGAATAAGAAGCTTATAAATTTTATGAGAAACTTAACTACCCCTATATACTTGAGAACTATCAAGAGTCGTTTGGTTGGGAACAAATTAGTATTCTGGGATAATTTATCCCACCATGGGTCTAATCACTATGGTGAATATAGTGAGATAAGTTATCCCAAGCATGACAACCAAAAAACAAAATTCTAATACCATCACTATTTTATTATCCCACGCTAATTATTTGTATCCTTCTCACCAAACGACCCGTTACTATTTACTACTTATCAAAAAATACACATGAGAGTAACTATCCATGTTGCAATTAAGTCCAAAAAAAGCCAATTTCTTCAGTTGTCTCGTAATTGCAAGCAGTTAAGCCCTCGCTTCTTTTAGACTCCTCAAGATTCAGTTTTTTAAATCAGTGGGTCCTTCAGAAACCCAACAGCTACTCAACAAATTTCGTCTTCTTTATCCCATTAAAGACTCCATTGAGTACCTATAGATTATTAACTTCACAAGTTTGCTATGTTTTGTCTATTATGTGAATAAAAAAGTCCAAGCAAAGAAACTTCCAAAGAAATTTAGCTGATTAAGGAAACACTTGTCAATAAGCATATGAACAAATATACAATTAGATCAAACTAAGCAAGCCGTATTCACCAAGATGAATCCTTTGAATTCCGAAATACATTCGACTAGATATTTGCACCCTAAAAAAAGGAAATAAACTCAAAAGAGTAATTAAAAAAAAAAGATGTATTGATGAAAAAACACCAACTACATAATCCAATGACTTAAACAAAAGTATAACACATCAAGTAGGTTATATGATACAATCCAATAAAAGCTCCAAATCTAATCAAGAGTATTTTATGGGTCTCACTAAAGAACAAGACAAGTTGAGTTTATTCAGCATACACAAGCATCCAGTTTGAAATGATTAACAAGGGACAAATATATCTTGCTGTTTACACTTACAACTAGCACCACACAAATATTATGAACATGTAGAACAAGAACCAAAATAAGATAATTATTCTTTTTCTTTAATATAAATTCCAGGTAGTATCCCTGGCAGATGTATTTCATTGAATATTGAGACAGAAACAAAACTATTTTAAAAAATCATTGTGAAATACAAGAAGGTAGAGTAAATTGATAAAAAATTGAAAATAAATGGTCTGCATATGGAATTGAGCTTATTTTATTAGTACATAATAATTAATTAATGACTGATATCATTGGAAACATGCACATGCAGAGGACATTAATTTATAAAAGAATAAACTCAAGTAAACAGTTAGGATCTGAAAAGAATAAATGTCACCATTTTAAGAAATGAAGAAAAAAAATTTGATATATATATATCTCACCAGATTCATGAGAAGAATTAGGTGCAAGAGTTAAAGCTTTGAACTGACACTCAATTCTTGAAAGAAAAACCATGGCTTCCTTGAAGGGTTTTGAGAGTTCTTGTTCATATTTTGTCAGCATCTCACAATAAGCCTCCATGAACTGATCTAGTGCAGGATCTTCTCCAATGATTCCACCACCACTACTACTACTGCTACGGCCCATTGTTGCTGACGTGGCACATATTTCCTCTAGCCTTGCCACCACTTCTGGCGGAGCTCCTATCTGCAGTTGTTAAAAAGAAGAAAAAAAAACTAGGTTTTTTCAGCTACTGTCCCTTTCACACACATGATTTTGTTTTCAGGGTTTTTTATTGAATTGTTGCAGAGAGTCACTTTCAAGGTAGAAAAAATCATCAAAATTTCAAGAAATACTAAAACCCATGTTAAAAAATATAATCTTTGAATTGTTGAAAAAAAAATGAATTTTTTTTTGTTGGTGTTAATTGGGGGGGGGGGGTGAATTTCACCTTTTGACAATTGAGATAAGCAGTCAAGAGACGATGGTAGTGAGGATGAGCCATAATCTTTGACTTGATGGAAGAAGAAGAAGAGTTGTTGTCTTCTTGAGGATTATTGTTGTTGTTGTCCATGAAAGGAAGAAAAAGGATGTTGTTGCTGCTTGTTTCTGCATTGTTATTGTTAGTTAAAGAAGGAGGAGGAGGAGGCATCATCATCATCATTGGAGGAGCACAAATTGTTACATTTCCATTTCCATTTCCATTACCATTTCCATTGTTGTTGTTGTTGTTCTCATGATCTCCATATCCCATCATCATTAAACAAGATGTACTAGTATTTCCACTAGAACCACCCTCCATTATTCTCTCACACACTTTCTTCTTCACTCTAAATTTTGTTCCTTTCTATTTGTTTTTGCCTATGAAAACCATCTCTCTCTCTCACACACACTGAGAAAAAAAAAAGAAATGGAAAAAAACCTCTGTTTAACAGTAAATCTCTCTTCTCTTTTTTACGAGGGTGTGTGTGTGTAAGTGATCTCCCGAGTTTTATGCTTACTGATATCAGGCTTTTTCACAGCAAATCCTTAATGGAATACATAGTTAGCAATACTACTAGTCAGAAAAAAAAGCAAACACACAATATTCCTTTTTTCTTTTTCTAAAAAATAATTAGTAAAAAACAGTGTATTGTTCACTTTTCTTTTCTTTTTTTTTTCTCTCTATAGTGTTGTAGCAAGAAGCAAAGACTATGAAAAACATGAACATGTTAAAGGGTTAGCTTGTATTTGGGTGCAAAATTTTTACCTTCCCAATGAAAACTCATACCCCTTTTTTCTTCACTGCCACTGAAACACTGTCATTATCTGCCAATATCCCTCCTCTCCTAGTGAGAGAGAGATATACAGTTTAATTTTTATTTTTAGATTAGAATGATCAAATCGAGGTGCAGTGTAATTTCTTCTGTGTTTTTATGTGTTTCTTGGTTTTTGGGTTATTGGAAAACAGACAAGAGTGAGAGTTCCTTACCAATATTATAACTTGAGACCTATTTGTCCCTTAATTGAATATGATTCTTTTTGCTTTGCTTCTTCTTTCAACCACTAAATTAAACTTTATATCATTATTTTATATTAAAAATTAGATTAGCGTACACATTATATTATACTAGTAGTAAATTAACAAAAATACTACTTTTCAAGAATAAAACGTGAAGAAAACTTATCTTTTTTAGAGGGAGAGGGGAAAAAAATAGACGCACAACAAAGGTGTGAATTGTGATGTGAGTGGATATAGCAGTAGAAAATCTTGAGATTCACATCTTTAAGAGACTAAGCTCTATGGTAGGTCTGACCAAAATCGATCGGTAAGTAAATAGTTAAAAGATCAAATATATTAATATTTTGAGCAATTAGAAAGATTAAATCCTATAAATGAATAGTTAAGAAACTATTTAAACCCTACTCGAATAGTTAAGAAACCGTCAATGACATTTTCTCTAGATTTTGGAGGAAGAATTTTTAAAGAAATTACAAATTGTTTTTTGTTCATAAACTTTAATCAATTTTTGACAATTTACATAAATTTGGATGAAATTTCATTTCACTTATCCTATGTATTGTTTTAAATCCTACAAAAATATTTCACACACCATTCAAACTTCAAAAACTGATATTTTCAAATTTCCATCTTAATTTTATAAGCACTTTCAAAATAAATTACTTAGATTGCTAATCACCTAAAAAACATTAAAATCAGACAAAATCATAAGTTGGTCATGTTTAATGTATAAATTTTCATTTATAAATATTTTAAATTTGATAAAATATATTTTAATCAATTTGGAATAGATTAATTTCTTGACTTTTTATTTGCATCTTCGAGAAACTTTTATCCCAATTTTTTTTTTCTAATTTTCAAAATACTCTTTCCAAATTGTGATGCTAAATCTCTTCCATTCCATATATCTTCTGTCGTAATCTTTTGTGTATATGTTTTTTAGTATTTATAATTTTTTAAGTAATAATTTTAAGGATATTTTAATTATTTTAAGGGAAAATTTAATAGTTTTCTTTTTTTTAAAAAAAAAGTTCAGGTTAAAATTCTTGAATAAATGAAAAGGAAAAAAAAATCTAACGAGTTGTTTAGAATAAAAATATTTGAAGAAAGATTTACCCTATTGGGATAGGGAACTATTTATAACTTTATTGTCTTTTTCTTGTGTTGAATGCCTTGAATCGGACCCGCTACAAACAGAAAGGACGGGGGTCTCGCTGCCCGGTCAGCGAGTCGGGGGGTCCAGGGGGGCGACGCGCCCCCTGGCCTGGGGGTCCGGGGGGGCGGAGACGCCCCCGGGCCGACGGTATACAATGTTGTTGTATTGGGCCCTTAATTTTCTGTTGATTCTGTATGTTGGGCCCAAGCCTGTTAGGGCGTAGCTTAGCACTATATATAGACGCTATGGGAAACCCTATTCTGTAATTCTGTTTTTGCCTCTCCATAATAAAACTGCTCCCTCTCTTCCCGTGGACGTAGCCAATTTGTTGGTGAACCACGTAAATCTGTTGTCTTATTTTTCGCGTTTATATTTTCTCGTATTATCTCAAATTCCGCACAACAAATTGGTATCAGAGCCTCTCGGTTAATCGGTGTTCTTGGAGAATTCGAGATGTCTGCTTTGAACGTGAAAATCGACAAATTCACAGGGAGGAACAGTTTCAGTTTATGGCAGATCAAGATGCGGGCCTTGTTGAAACAGCAAGGCTTCTGGGCGCCGTTGTCGAAAGACAAGAACGCCGTCGTTACTCCTGAGATGGCGATTCTGGAGGAAAAGGCGCACTCGACGATCATGCTGTGTCTCGCGGATGACGTCATCACGGAGGTCTCGGATGAAGAGACTGCTGCTGGTCTGTGGTTGAAGCTGGAGAGTTTGTACATGACAAAATCTCTAACCAACAAGCTGCTTCTGAAACAACGTCTATTCGGTTTACGAATGGCTGAAGGTACACAACTCAGGGAACACTTAGAGCAATTGAATACTTTGTTATTAGAATTGCGTAATATCGATGTGAAGATCGAGGATGAAGATGCTGCCCTGATTCTGTTAGTATCTCTCCCAATGTCGTTTGAGAATTTTGTTCAATCGTTCATTGTTGGGAAAGATACTGTGTCACTGGAAGAAGTCAGATCAGCCCTTCATAGCAGGGAATTACGGCATAAGGCTAACGGCACAAGTACGGACATACAGCCTTCCGGTCTGTTCACCAGTAGCAGAAAGGGAAGGAAAAACGGCGGAAAGAAAAATAAGCCGATGTCGAAGGGTGCAAAGCCGGATGATGTTTGTAATTACTGCAAGGAGAAGGGACATTGGAAATTTGATTGTCCGAAGAAGAAGAAGCAATCGGAAAAACAATCAGTGTCTGCTGCTGTTGCTGAAGAAGACACCAATTCTGAAGAAGATATTGCCCTAGTTGCGGATGAGCACACTCATCATTCAGATGTGTGGGTTCTTGATTCTGGGGCATCCTATCACATCTGTCCTAGGAGAGAGTGGTTCACGACTTATGAGCAGGTAGACGGAGGCAGCATCTCGATGGCCAACAGTTCTGTCTGCAAGGTGGTTGGGACAGGCTCGATCAAGATAAGGACACATGACGGTAGCTTCTGCACATTGAACGAGGTCAGGCACGTTCCATTGATGACGAAAAATCTGATATCTCTCAGTCTTTTGGACAGCAAGGGATTCAGCTGGTCGGGAAAAGATGGAGTCTTGCGGGTCTGGAAGGGTTCAAATTTGATTCTGAAAGGTGTCATGCGTGGTACTTTGTATTTTCTACAAGGTTCCACGGTTACAGGTTCAGCCCATGTTGCATCGTCAGAATTTCACCAGAAGGATATGACTAAGTTATGGCACATAAGACTTGGTCATATGGGTGAAAGAGGGATGCAAATTCTGTCAAAGGAGGATTTACTTGCTGGTCATAAGGTTAAGAGCCTAGAGTTTTGTGAACATTGTGTTTTTGGAAAACTACATCGCAACAAGTTTCCAAAGGCCATTCATAGAACAAAAGGCACACTTGATTATATCCATTCTGATTGCTGGGGTCCATGCCGTGTTGAGTCTTTGGGAGGCTGCAGATTTTTTGTGTCCATTATTGATGACTACTCAAGGATGACTTGGGTGTACATGATGAAGCATAAAAGTGAAGCCTTCCAGAAGTTCAAGGAGTGGAAAATTTTGATGGAAAATCAAACAGGGAAGAAGATCAAGAGGTTGCGAACTGATAATGGGCTGGAATTCTGTTGGTCTGAATTTGATCAATTCTGTAAGGATGAAGGGATTGCTCGACATCGCACAGTCAGAAATACACCACAGCAGAACGGTGTAGCTGAGCGGATGAATCAAACACTTCTGGAGAGAGCAAGGTGCATGCTCTCTAATGCTGGGCTAGATAGAAGATTCTGGGCAGAAGCGGTTAGTACAGCTTGCTACTTGATTAACCGCGGACCACATACAGGTATACAGTGCAAGACACCTATGGAGATGTGGTCTGGAAAAGCTGCTGATTATTCAAATCTGAAAGCTTTTGGTTGTACGGCTTACTATCACGTCAGTGAAGGTAAGTTAGAACCAAGAGCTAAAAAGGGAGTATTTGTGGGCTACGGAGATGGAGTGAAAGGTTTCAGAATCTGGTCTCCAGCAGAAAAGAGGGTTATTATGAGCAGGAACGTTGTCTTTGATGAAAGTCCTCTGCTTAGAACCATTGTGAAGCCTACAACTACGTCAGAAACTGGGAGTCTTGACAAACAGGTGGAGTTTCAAGTCATTCAGAACGAGAGCGATTTAAAGGAACCTGAAGAGGAGGATCAAGAGCCACAGACTGAAACTGATATTCCAGAATCTATGCCATCAGATATCCATCAGAGTATAGCTCAAGATCGGCCAAGGAGGGTTGGAGTTCGGCCACCTACGAGGTATGGTTTTGAGGACATGGTGGGTTATGCACTGCAGGTTGCTGAAGAGGTAGATACATCTGAGCCGTCTACTTACAAAGAAGCCATTTTAAGTTCTGATTCTGAAAAATGGTTTGCCGCTATGGGAGATGAGATGGAGTCCCTACACAAGAATCAGACATGGGATCTGGTCATACAGCCTTCGGGGAGAAAGATTATTACTTGCAAATGGGTTTTCAAGAAGAAGGAAGGGATATCACCAGCAGAAGGAGTCAAGTATAAAGCCAGGGTTGTTGCCAGAGGTTTCAACCAAAGAGAGGGAGTGGACTATAATGAGATCTTCTCACCAGTGGTCAGACATACTTCCATCCGAGTGTTACTAGCGATAGTTGCACATCAGAATCTGGAGCTTGAACAACTTGATGTGAAGACAGCGTTTCTACATGGAGAGTTGGAGGAAGAGATATACATGACTCAGCCGGATGGTTTCCAAGTTCCAGGGAAGGAAAATCACGTCTGCAAGTTGAAGAAGTCCTTATATGGACTTAAGCAGTCTCCAAGGCAGTGGTATAAAAGGTTTGACAGCTATATGGTGAAGTTGGGCTATACTCGGAGCTCATATGATTGTTGTGTCTACTACAATAGGCTCAATGATGATTCATTCATCTATCTGGTGCTTTATGTAGATGATATGTTGATAGCTGCAAAGAAGAAGTATGACATTCAGAAGCTGAAGGGTTTACTTAGTGCTGAGTTTGAGATGAAGGATCTGGGAGCCGCTCGGAAGATTTTAGGGATGGAGATCATTAGAGACAGAGAGAGAAGGAA